GGCACGACTCTAGGAAGTTCTGGTGGTTTAATTTTGTCATTTGTACATGGCCCATTTCGTGGAATTTCGCCTAGTAGGTAGTAGCGCATTGGTAGGTAGTGGCACATTTTCTTAGGCCGATTTTTCGGTCTTCAAGACTGATAATGGGGGTTGTATTTTTTTTTTTTTTTTAAATTGATGATCATACAACATCACAACTCACAATGATGTCGCAAAAAAAGAAATAAAAAAAAATCACACTTTGTTGCTCTCATGACATACGTACAAAAGACAAAATTAATGTACACAAAGTTTTCTAAGCTGTAAGGTCCAACTGAACAGCTGCTTTGGAGAGAGAGTGGACATTTGGGTTTGACTATGCTTTCACTTTGTTTCCGTCTCGATAGGTGGTTGCCTGCCTCCCACAACAGGGGATGGGAGTGCAGCACTCCGCCGCACTGCAAGTCCAAGACATAGGAACGCTCAGTTCAAATGACATGAGGGAATAGGTGCATTGGGTACATAGGGGCTGTTGGTATAAGGACTGGGTCGATAGACAATGGGGAGCGTGCATTGGGTGCATGGGCTGCTGGGACAATGACCGGGTCGATACATGCCTGAGAAAACAATTCATTGCCTGGACAGAGGACGAGTTGGTGGTTGCCTGCCTCCCAGATCAGGGGTTGGGAGTGCAATGCTCCGCCGCACTGCAAGGCCCGTAAACGAGATAAAAGGAGAACGTGCTCCTAGACATACGAGGACTGGGTCGATAGCTAATGAGGAGCGTGCATTGGGTACATAGGGGGCTGCTGGGACAAGGACTGGGTCAGTAGCACAGAAAAGAACCGCAGTCTTGATGCCATACGATGTTCTGATGGGACGCTGGACCCGGTTTCCAGTAGGTGCCACTCCCCACCAATAGATGGAGCAGCCCCCCCGGTAAGTCCTCAATTCTGACGGTTCTCGTACCACCGCCAGGATAGAGGGATACCGTAAGGGCTTTCTTCCTTTAAAAAAAAAAAAAAAAAAAAAAAAAAAAGAGTTTGGTATGAGGGACATGAGGAGTTGAGACGCTTTGTGAGCATATGTTTTCTACATGACTTGTCCCAGTTTATGGCAGAAACAGGCAAAAACACGTCGTCGACGAAGGTAAAACTCATCGTCGACGGAGGTAAAACACATCATTGACGGAGGTAAAACACTTCGTTGACGGAGGCAAAACACATCATAGACAGAACACATTGCTGACGAAGGGAAAACACACTGCCGGCGGAGGTAAAACACGTGGTCGACGGAGGTAAAACACGTCGTCGACGGAGGTAAAACACATCGTTGACGGAGAAAAAAAAAAAACACATCGTTGACGGAGGTGAAATGGTGATGGCCATCTGATAACTTGGCCGTATTATCCAAGAGGACAGAGTAGAACAAAGGTGCAAGCGGCGGACCTGATGCCCAACGCGGTTACATGGAGTCCCAGTGCATTTGGAAAAAAAAAATGCCAGGAAAAATACGTGGAGGAGCGCCGCAACTGGTGGGTGGCCAGTCGGTTTTAGCATCGTACAGCCCAAGATATTATTCTAGTGGCTGCAGGGATCTCTGGGCCTTGGCGGTGGTTTTCTCTGGTGCAAGAGGGGTTTTAAACCCCCCTCTCCCTTCCAAACCTCTGGCCCTGTACACCTGACAATGACCCCACTGTTCAGTACTGAAACGCCAGTCGACAAATGATTTTTTTTTTTTTTTTTTTTTTTTTTTGTGGCAAACATTTCTTCGGGGCCTAGGGCCCTAGGGGTGTGTTGATAAGAGCAATCACCCCTAGTCCCTAGTCCCTAAGAGAGACTCCATCTATTGGTGGGGAGCGGTCACCTGCTGGACAGCGGGTTTAAAGGTCACATTACCCACGATGCTACATAATCTACCTACCAGGGTCCTGCCATCACTACCCCTGTTCTCCTAGGACGGGGCCCACGGGTGGTATGTTCATGCTTAGAAAAATGATCCTGGTCGCCAAATCGAACAGGTTCATGCTTTCTTGGGATGAACAATGCGCAGTTGGAATGAAACTATAACTAAATGAAAAATGCATTGATCACTGTCATGCTTTTCAATCATGATTCTTTGTCATAAATGGCCATTAAAGTTTAGGGATAGGGTACCCAGTCCTATCCACCACTTCTTTTTTTTTTTCCTTCTTTTTTTTAGCGTACCCACCACTGCCGCGAGCAAAGGGGGAAAGAACCAGGCTTCACGATACATACAGAAATAACCCAGTAGCTTAAACCACCAGCACTTCCGCAGGTCGCGACATGCATGCGGCCAGCCAATGCTACAGTGCCATGACATTTCCACTTGAAAGAATTTCATGCCAGCGCCCCAGGCCCTTTCATCCCAGCACGTCGCCGCGCACATGCAGCTGCAACTCCCGAAGGTACTGGTGGCGGCCCCACCCTACTCCCTGACCACCGCCAATTAGGCATCCCCTTAACTGTGAGAGGTAGCTACAGTCTTCCCCCGAATACAACGCAAGGTCATTATCACCGGATTTGGTCTATCTTTCAGTCTAAATTCAGCTATAATGACCGAACATTGTATTCAGGGGAAGACTGTAGTATGCTTGCAGGCGTCGCCTGTATAGGTAGATAGTGAAAGGTGAAATTGAGAGAATAATATAGGCTAGGTATTAAAAAAAAAAAAAAAAAAAA